AATGGGGGGCAGCCGCATGGATCATGGAGGTACGAGCGGCCTCCATGACTAGGCCAATGCGGCGCTCAGCAACCCCATTCTGCTGCGGAGAGGCTGGAAGCGTGAACGTCTGGCGGATGCCGTGCTCCGCACAGAAGGCTACCAAGAGGTCAGAGGAAAACTCCCCACCTCTGTCAGAGTGCAGACGCAGGACGGGAAAGTCCGACTGGAACTGCTCGCGGAGCTGGAGACGAGCAGCGCGGATCCAAGGATCAAAACATCAGGGACCTCACCCTTGGTGCGCAAGGGGAAGACCGTGGTGTAGCGCGTGTAGTCGTCGACGGCCAGCAGGAAGTACCGCTCGTGGCCCTGTCCACGGACGCGGGCTGGGCCCCACACGTCCAGGTGGAGAGTCTACAGGGGAGCCTCTGTGGGAGGGAACGAGTAGGAGTGAGGAGCGGCGCGCTGCCGCCCCTCGACACAGGGAAGACAGGGAGGAGCAGGCGAGGGTGGGAGGGGAGGGAGAACCCTGGGAAGACCAGAGACAAGGACACGGTGGTGCATGCTGCGAAGGCGCTGCACCGAGGGGTGACCAAGGCGGTGGTGCCAAATGAGGGTCTGGTGCGACAAGGTGCGACACGAGCAGGGGGCCGACATTTGACCTGACGTAGACGCAGACGCAGCTACCTGAGGGGACTCAGTGGTCAGTGTGTACAGGCCCGACCCCGGCTGCCGAGTGAAGGTAGCCAGGTGACGACCCGTCTGAGCACACGTGCAGTGTGTCACACGCTCGTAGGCAGGGGTGAACTGGTGAACACCCTCGTCCTGGAGCGCAGAACCCGCCACCAAGTTCGTAGAGAACGAGGGGAGGTAAAGACCCGACAGTGTGTCGGACGGGACAGCAGGACAAGGGAGGACAGTGGAGGAGGTCGCACGGACTGGAACCCCAGAGGGGTCTGCCAGGGAGACTGGAACCGGCCGACTGAGCGGCGTGAGGGTGGTGCTGTCGCGAAAGAAGGAGCGAGAAGCACCAGAGTCAAGTGTGAAGGTGTACAAGGCCTCAGCAGGCGCAGTACCAGAGAGAGCAGGCTCACCAGCACCTGAAGCAGCAGCCTCACCAGTACCTAGAGCAAGAGACACACTAGCCCCTAGAGCAGCAGCCTCACCAGCACCTAGAGCAGCAGGCTCTATACCTGGGTCAGGCGGTACGCACAGGTAACAGGCACGGTCAGCACTAGTAGGCAATGCATACATAGCAGTGAGAATAGCATCATAGTCAAGAGCATAGATATCTACCCCCTGTCCAAGCAGCTCCAGTCAGGTGGGGAGCTCAGCCTCGTCGCCAAACTCGGTACGCCAGGCGTCGCTCAGACGGGCGAAGCAGTGGGACTGTGTGTGACTAAGCGTCCCGCAAGCCTGACCAGTCCGATCACCTGTGCGAATGACGTACGGGCAGCGAACGGTACTCAGAGACCCTCTACTCTGCGCGTACCACTCACGAAGCTGCTGGGGCGTGAGAGACTCGCGCGGACGTTGCTGGAGCTGCATCTGGCCACCGCCAGTAGTAGTAGTAGCAGTAGTAGCAGCAGTAGCAGCAGTAACAGCAGTAGCAGCGGCAACAGCAGTAGCAGCAGTAGTAGTGCGGCCACCCCTACAACCCCAACTAGCGTACCACTCACGAAGCTGCTGGGGCGTGAGGGACTCACGTGGACGTCGCTGGAGCTGCATCTGGCCACCGCCAGTAGCAGCAGTAGCAGTAGCAGCAGTAGTAGCGCAGGCAGGGCAGGCGCGGCAGGCAGGCAGTCAGGCGGCAGCGCACGTTCAAGGCAGGTGCTCACCAGTGGCGGGCAGGGCCGGCGCTCGGCGGGGCCGCAACAGCGGCTGCAGAGTAGGGCCGCGGCAGCTGTAGGGCGAGGTTGCGCCAGCAGCAGGTCGGGGCCGCGTCAGCTGCAGGGTTGGCGGGGCCGCGTCAGCGTCCACGCGGGTCCGCGTCTGCGGCAGGGCGCGGCTGCGTCAGCTGCAGGGCTGGCTGGGCCGCGTCAGCAGTAGGGCGCGGCCGCGTCAGCAGTAGGGCGCGACCGCGTCAGCAGTAGGGCGGGCCGCGTCAGCAGTAGGGCGCGGTCGCGTCAGTAGCAGGGCGGGCCACGACAGCGATTGGGCGGGGCCGCGTCGGTGGCAGGGCGGGGCCGCGACCGCGGCAGGATGGGGCCGCGTCAGCGGCAAGGCGGGGCTGCGACCGCGGCCGGACGGGGCCGCGACAGCGACCTGACGGGGCCGCGCTCTGGCCTGACGGGCCTGCAGAGGCTGCGCGCGGGCGGCGAGGGCCTGCAGGGGCAGCGCGCGATCGGGCAGAGGCTGCGCGTGGGCGGCGAGGGCCTGCAGGGGCGGCTCGCGGTCGGGCAGAGGCTGCGCGCGGGCGGCGATGGCCTGCAGGGGCGGCGCGCGGTCGGGCAGAGGCTGCGCGCGGGCGGCTAGTGCCTGTAGGGGAGGCGCGCGGTCGGGCAGAGGCTGCGCACGGGCGGCAATGGCCTGCAGGGGCGGCGCGTGGTCGGGCAGAGGCTGCGCGCGGGCGGCTAGTGCCCGTAGGGGCGGCGCGTGGTCGGGCAGAGACCGCGCGCGGGCGGCAAGGGCCTGCAGGGGCAGCGCGCCGGCCTGACGGGCCTGCAGGGGCGGCTCGTGGGCCTGACGGGCCTGCAGGGGGCGGCTCGGGGGCCTGACGGGCCTGCAGGGGCGGCTCGGGGGCCTGGCGGGCCTGCAGGGGCGGCTCGGGGGCTTGACGGGCCTGCAGGGGCGGCTCGTGGGCCTTACTAGCCTGCAGGGGCGGCGTACTGGCCTAGGGCAGCTCTGATACCATGTCAGAATCCCAACCACTAGACCATTGGGATAAAAGGGCTTGTTAAGTAGCGGGTCAGTGCGCCCCATAACCCCCCAGGACAACGAGCCTGTAACCCTTCCCTAGGATCAATCGGGGATCACAAGTGGACCTCTGACACCCCCCCGCACTTGGATGCCCAAAGTGCACACACTGGGATTCGAACCCGAGACCTTCGCTTTGATACCATGTCAAGTTACAAAAGTATAAGTGTTGACTAAGGAAAGTGAAAACAAGCAAGATATAGCAAGCATAACCCTAACCCTAGGAAAACATAAAGTACACCTAGACTAACACAAATAAGCTATAACAAATATAGCTTGACAGGAGGCAGCACGAGGGCTGCAGGACGGCGCGCGCAGCGCAGCACGTCACGAGGCAAGGCATGCAGGCAGGCAGGCCAACACGTGGGGTAGCGCGGTAACCGCAACGGTAGGTGGGCCCAAAAAAAACGTTCCTACGGACCTAGTGCTCTGAAACCATGTTAGAATCTAGCAGCAGGAATGATTGCACTATGAAAGAGTTGGGTACAAATATGAAACCCTAAAGTGGGCTGTACCCCATATTGGCTACCCCACTGCTGCACGTTGCCACTCAGCGTGACTACGAGCTTCACTCTCTTGACTTCAGCACAGCTTTCCTACAGGGCAGCCGGTACGAGAAGATCTGGCTGCACCGCCCACTTGGCTTCACTGGGTCGTTTCTTGCAGGTACCCAGTGGAGCCTCCGGCGGCCAGTCTACGGTCTCCGCCAGGTGCCTCGTGCGTGGCACGACACATTAAGGACGACACTTGCGGCTCTTGGGTTTGCTCCTTCGACAGCTGAACCGTCGCTGTTTCTGCGCACCGACACTTCGCTGCCGCCGTTCTACATCCTCGTGTACGTCGATGACTTGGTTTTTGCCACTACTGACACTGAAGCAGTCGCCCTTGTGAAGTCGGAGCTCCAGAAGAGACACACGTGCACAGACCTGGGTGAGCTGCGCAGCTATCTTGGCTTGCAGATCACCCGGGACAGAGCACGGTGCACCATCACCCTGACTCAGTCACACATGGTGCACCAGGCCCTTCAGCGCTTCGGCTTCACATGGTCCTCGCCACAGTCCATGTTAAAGTTATATATAATAGATCCTGCTTGCTGTACTTAGTATAGTGTAGTTATCTGATTGTTTGCTTGGTGGTGCACGTGTTTGTTTGCTATATGTACCTTTGGTCCTATAGTGAACTCAACCATTCTCAATTCTCCTTGGTGACAAGACTCTCGACACCCACTTGGCCTAGGCTACTAAGCCTAGGCCCGTTAGTTAGACCCGGTTCCTAGTTGAGTCAGTGTTGTAACATGGTATCGAGCCGTAACGTTCCTATGGGCCCACCATTTGACGCACTCGTCACGGCGCCCGTGACGTCCTTAATTTCGACCGTGGTGACGGGCGCCACGGCGAGTACCTTCGCGGCCGTCCCGTCGCCTATCGCGTCGTGGCGCTCAGCACGACGGCCGCGACGGACGCTATGGCAAACGCCAGCAACCCGCCAGCAAAATCGCCAGCGAAATCGCCAGCGGCGCACCAGCGACATCGCCAGCGAGCATGCCATGCGAGCCAACGGATCCGCCGTCTTGCCCGCCGCAACAGCCGCCAGCCGCGAACGACCAGCACCAGCAGCGATATCTGCGCCGTCCAGCGCTAGCCGCGATAGTGACGCTAACCAGCGCCAACCGCGACAAATGCACCGTCAGCGACGACCGCCTTTGACCTGCGCCACCGACCGTCGCCGGCGTCAGTTCGTCCGCGCCCTGCACGCACCCAGATCGATGCCCCGTACGCATCCTGCCTCCTGCTCGCCTCTCGTCGCCCGTACGCACCTCGCCACAAGCCCATCCCCTCGTCGCGGCTACTCGCGTGTGCAGCGACGGTCGCTGTGGGGAAGAGAGAGAAAAACGCGAAGGGCGTGGCGGCGGATCGCCAGCCAGCTCACCAACCGTCCGCGCAGATCCCCCGTATCCCGTCCGAACCCGCACCCCGCGACCATCCCGTCGTCCCGCCTCGTCCCTGCCCCGCCGTCAGATCCCGCTCCATTTCCAAAAGGAGGGGGAGGTGGTGGTGTGTTGGCCCGTGGGGGACGGCTGGGGATTGGGAGTGGGGGTTGGCGGTTCATGAAGGGGCAGGAGTTGGGGACGGGGGTGGTGGGCGGATGTCAGCAGCGACCGCCAGCGCCAGCAGCACCTGCTGCCACCCAACAGTGCATCACAGGGAATGGAGTGTGCGGGGGTGGCTGGAGTACCTGCTGCAGCATTAGCCGCCTCCACACTTCCCTCCTCCCCTCTCTCTGCCACAGCTGCTGTGGGGGGGAGGTTCAGGGGGTGTGGGTGGGTGAGTGCTGCCGCCGCCACACCTCCTTCTCTCTCTCTCTGCCGCTGTTGCTGCTGTGGGAGGGAGGATCAGGGCGAAAGAGGTGGTGGGCGGGTGTCAAGAGCGAGCACCAGACACCAGCACCAGCGCCAGCCGCCAGCACCAGGCACCAGCACCAGACGCCAGCACCAGGCACCAGCACCAGACGCCAGCAGAGCACCCCGCCAGCAAGGAACCCCGCCAGCAGAGAACCCCGCCAGCAGAGAACCCCGCCAGCAGAGAACCCCGCCAGCAGAGAACCCCGCCAGCAGAGAACCCCGCCAGCAGAGAACCCCGCCAGCAGAGAACCTTGCCAGCAGAGAACCCCGCCAGCAGAGAACCCCGCCAGCAGAGAACCCCGCCAGCAGAGCACCACCCTCTGCCCTGCCTCTCCCCTCCCGCGGCTGCTACTGTGGGGGGTAGGTGGCGGGGACGGGGGGGTGGGAGGGCTGGCTGCCGTCTAAAGGACAGGGCAGAGACAACTCTGGGTGGGGCAGGGGTGTGGAGGAAGGAAGGGAGGGAGGGGGTGCGGTTCCAGGGGGCGGCTGAAATGGGGGGTGAGGTTGAAGGAGGGTGGTTGATTGGGGGTGGGGATGTGGGGGTTAGTAAGAGGGGACGCTGCGGCCACCCCCCCACCTCCTCTCCTCATCCCCCACTCAACCCCCCTTTCGTAAAAGGGGGTTAGTAAGAGGGGACGCCGCGGCCACCCCCCCACCTCCTCTCCTCATCACTCACTCACCTCCTCCTCTGTTCTTATCTCCTCTTCTCTCCTCTCTCCCTCTCGCCGCCTCCCCTCACGTACCCCTTTGCCGTCTCCCACCGCACCGTCTCTACCCCTTCAGGGGGTGTTGACTACACTAGTTATTACTGCAAGCAGGCTAAGGGGGTGTGTTAAAGTTATATATAATATATCCTGCTTGCTGTAGTTACTACAGTGTAGCTATATAATTGTTTGCTTAGTTGTGCACCTGTTTGTTTGCTATGTGTACCTTTGGTCCTATAGTGAACTCAACCATTCTCAATTCTCCTTGGTGACAAGACTCTGGACACCCGCTTGGCCTAGGCTACTAAGCCAAGGCCCCTTAGTTAGACCCGGTTCCTAGTTGAGTCAGTGTTGTAACAGTCCACTCCTCTGGCTACCGGTCACTCGCTCTTAGCTCCACATTCGGACGAGTCCGTAGAGCCGAGTGGCCCGTATTCAGAGCTTGTGGGCTGCCTCATGTACCTGATCTCCTGCATTTGACCTGACCTTACCTACCCTCTTAGCATCTTGGCACGCTACGTTGCTCCCGGGAGACACCGACGAGAGCACTGGGAGGGTGCTAAGAGGGTGTTGCGCTACTTGTGAAGTACATCGGGCATGAGGCTCGTGCTTGGAGGACGGGGTGAGGTTGTCCTCAATGGACACTCAGACGCGTCTTGGGTTGACGACCTGGCTACGCAGCGGTCGTCACAGGGTTACACGTTCAGCCTTGGCTCCGGCTCTGTTCTTTGGCAGTCTACCCGCTCGTCTTCTGTTCTCAGCTCCAGTTGTGAGGCTAAGATCTACGCAGGAGCCATGGCTGCAGAGGAGTTACGCTGGCTCACCTACCTGCTGACTGACTCGGGAGAGTGGCCTCGTTCTCCTCCAATCTGTACGTAGACAACGAGGCCACGATTGCCTTGTGTCAGGAGCACAGACTGGAGCACAGAACGAAGCACATCGCTCTCCGTTACTTCATTGTTTGAGAGTTGCAGCAGCGTGGTCAGCTTCGTCTTGCTTACGTGGCCACTCGGACCAACACTGCTGATGTGTTCATCAAGGCACTTCCGCCTAGTGATCATCAGCGTTTCTGTACTGCGTTAGGCCTTGTGTCCCCTTCTTCTCACTTGCTCACTTCTTGAATTTGCTTGTACTGTGGTCTATATGTTATATGTATATGTATACCTGCATGCTTGCACTTGCTACGTAGTGATCACTGTACTGCTTGTTGTCCTTTATATAACTCTGCATGTGGACTGGACTAGTGGCCATTTGCTTGTGCTCAGAGTTTGTGGTGGCTTTGTGATCCACGCAGAGCTTGCTTTGCTTTTCTTGACTGGTTTTGTGACCCTTTGTTCTCCCCCACTTTGCTTATGCGGGTGTGTCAAACTGTTATATTGGTGTGTAGGCTGTACTGGGGTAGCCCATATGGGGTACAACCCAAATTAGGGTTAGTATTTGTTCCACTTTCTTACTCAATGCAATCATTCCTGCTCTTTAGTTTCTGATAGCTGGCCACTAAGACCATTCGTGGCCGTCGTGTCATTTGTCTTCATTCTTGCCACATTCTGTAGCAACTAGGACACTAAACCATGGCAGCGACGCCTTGCGACTTGGGCGTCTCCACCTTGAGCTCGTACTTCTGCCCGCGCACCACCGCGTACATCTTGTCGGGCGCGATGTAGTCGCAGGTGCGCTCGATGCGGAAGGGCTGGCCGGGAATCTGGTCGCCCGAGTGGATCTGCACGCCCGTGATGACGGCGTAATCCGCCGTCTCGGGGTTCACCGTGAGCTTGATGAGCTTCTCCAAGTCCTCGTTGATCGCCGCCAACGCCGCGCGCGTCACGTCCACCAGCGACTTGTTGCCGCCTGACACCTGTGGGGGATTGAGGAAGTGGAGCAAGAGGAAACTGGAATTTAGAGTGGACGAGCAGAAGTTGCTTAAACCAATTCTGGAGTGCTACGTTGCAACCGTTAGATTCCCAGCTTTCATGAATTTAGTGTTTGATTACTCGGATTTATTGACCATCCGCTTACCTTAGCCATGATCTTCTTGCGCAGCAGCGTGTACTCGGGGTCGTCGCTGTCCATGCTGGGCGCCACGCCGTTGTTGATGTCGTTGTTGATGGCGATCAACGCTCCGCACGCGCTCGACGCCTTACCGCGACCGCGACGCAGCAGCGAACCCACCTCGCCCGACTCGCCGATGGACACGTGCGGGAACGCGAAGAAGATGTCTGCAAAAAGGGATACAGAACAAATATAGAGGGTGAATTAGTGATAAGAACGACGGATGTCTCAAACAGCGAAATTGGAAGGTAAAATGACATGAGGTTGATGAATATGGGAAAATGTCAAACTGGAAAGACAATATCATTTGAAATGCTTCCAGATTAAGGTAACCCAAATTAGACCAAAACTTACATCGCTCCTTGAGGTTGCCGTCGACGTCGCAGGGGAACTCGGGCGAGTGGCTCATGGCGGCTCCGAAGCCGACCTTGCCGCAGTTGACGAGCCCGCCCAGCCCCGAGATGTTGAAGCTCAGCCCGAACTCGCGGTCGATGATGCTCACCACGGGCCGGCACACCTCGTCGCGGCACGTGTTCACCAGCGCGATGCCGTTGTCCTTGCGGAACCCCAGCTTCGCCAGCTCCACCGCCACGGCCTTCAGGAACGCCTCCTCCTGCATCGCCGACGGGAACGTCGTCGCCATCGTCGACAGCGCCGACGCCGCCGCGTGCTTCGCGCGGGGCACGATGCCGCTAGGCGGGACGCTGGTGACCGCGGGAGAGGAGGGGGCGGGTGCGGCGGGAGCGGCGGCGGGAGACGCGGTGAGCTTCTTCACGGCGACGTAAGTCGCGGCGCCCAGAGCGCCGGCGCCGACGATGGCGGGGAGGAGGGCGGTGGCGGCAGGAGCGGCGGGAGCGGCGGTGGACTGGGAGACGCTCGCGAACTGGTTGTCGGCGCTCGCCATGGCGACGACGCTTGTGCGACGGTTACCGCATTTCGCGCACGTCATGCAGGTGCATGTTTGAGCAGAGGCGGAAAGAGCCTTCTGGGCCTTGAGGCCGGAGAACCCAGGGATTGCCGCCCGCGAGGAAGTGGAGAGGCTGCTTCCCTCTGGGATAGAGAGGGAGCGAAGGGTGGCGGATGCCGAAGAGGAGAGAGTCGCAGCCATTGTGTCGGAGAGTCGTGTAAACGCTCTGAAAGCACAGGAGTGTTTACGAAGACGATTATCGACGATGACTGAAACTGCGACTGTGAGAAGTGTCAAGGTTAGGTCATCAATGTTGTGTTGGTGTTTATATATGCTGTCCAGTGCATTGGAACGGAATTAGTTTCCTGGTCTTGGCGCCAGTTGTTCTGGTCGCTGGCTGGGGGAGTGAAAAAGGCGAAATTCCGAATCTCGCTTGAAATCCTGGCCTTGTTGGGGTGAGCCTTTCTGAGGGGGGTATCTGAAGCTATTTTGGGTTCGGTGCGGCTCGCACTTGCATAGATCTTGCCTATGTGTGGCGAGAGGGGGGTGATGTGGATGATCCACATGGTGTACCTCCAGGTCGGATTGCCTGCCACGTGTTATCCGTTTGTGGCTCCAGTATCGGACCCAAGCCGCATATTTTGACAACTCCCTTTGTTCCAGTTTCCCGCCTTTCCTGGTCGTGTACACTTGGGATGCTGCCCTGCCTATCAACGAAGAGGATTTGGAGTTGCAAATGCGCCACCTGCGTACCGCAATCCTCTTCGATGTACGAGAGTTTGGACGGGCTTGGCAAGTCCAGCGAGATGGAGCTTCACCAAAGTTGGTGGGATCACTGTGCAAGTCCGAGTATGCGCGATCGAACGCCAACCCGGTAAAGACGTAGGTTCGTGTAGCTCAGAATACACGAGTAAATAAAATGCGCTACAATTGAAAGTTTGAAATCCTGAAACCAAACAACGTCTCAACCAATGGTCAAGAACATGTTCAATGAAGGTTGGCCTACTATAATATAGATTTTATGCGGGAAACTTTAGGATGTTAATGAAATAAGCTTGTTCAAATAATATTGCGATTTGTAGGGTAGTGGATGTTCTTGGTACATGGCACGACACGTTTCTTAGTCCAGGAAGCGGCCGTGGATTATTTTTGATTGGGTTTGGCATTAAACAATCAGAACTGGTGGAAAATTAATTTGTAGCCATGAAGTTGTGCACGTACATTGCATGCTGCTGTTATTGAAGCACCTGTGAGTGCGGTTTTTCGGAATTCTTGTGTTTGATCTGGCCCGGAATCACTTCACGCAGTTCTATGCTTCTCCTGAGCGGAACTATTGATTTAGTTTTCTGGAAGATTCCGTACTTGGAGAACGTCGACTTAGAGTAGGACCAGCGGGAATACCTTGGTGTTGTAGACAGCCCACTCGTGCAGACCTTCAGATCAAGTGTCTGTTTGTCCACCTTGTAGCCTGTCCGCATTTCACGGCGGGTTCGGCGGCAATGGCCTCTGCAAAAGGGGTATTGCGGAACGTGCAGGCGCAGGAGGAGGCGTCTCCGCATTCCCCTCGGGAAGGGGGAGTTTTGCGCAACGATGAACTGGCGCGTCAGCTAGAGCAACTTAAAGACATCGACGCATTGCAGGTTCGTGTGACAACTGATGGTGTCGGCACAGTTTCTGAGTCGAATCAAAGGCAGCTGGAGAAACTTTAAGACATTGACGCATTGCAGGTTTGTGTGAGCAACTGACAGTGACAGTATGGTTTTTGACTTCAGTCGACTCAAAAAGCAGCTGGAGCAACTTAAGGACATCGACGCATTGCAGGTTCGTGTGACATCAGCCGGAGTTGATATGGTTTTTGAGTCTGTATTCGAGCCGACTGAAAAGGCATCTGGGACAAATCATCAACGCAGGTCGGCTGTAGCGCAGGCAGGACAAATGCTTGTTACGTTTCCTTGGTAGACTTTTGTTGATTCGAGATTGTTTTTCAACAATTCTAAAAAAACAGATTCATCTGGGACACATCATCGACGCAGGTCGGCTGTATAGCAGGTCAAATGCTCGTTACGTTTCCTTTGTAGACTTCTGTATATCCGAATTCAAGGCAGATGCGCTGTTTACGGTTCGTAGATGTCTGAAGAACCAATTGAAAGGCAGAAGTTCGTCAGTTAGGGCCTGTATACGTCCAAAGAAACTGGTCAAAGACTTCTCGCTTACCGTGTAGAAAGTGCATTTTTGAGACGTCTCGAGAACCAAGTGAAATGCAGAAGGAACTGGTCAAAGACGTCTCCTTTACCGTGCACAGCTTCATAAGAAACCCTTATCCGCCTAAAAGACCGTGATTTTTACGGCCTGTATACGTCTAAAAGGAACTGGTCAAATACGTCTCATTTATTGTGTAATGCATGTCAGCAGCATTGAAATCACTTTTGAGTCTTCTCAAAAGTGAATCTTACGGTCTGTAGTGTACGTCTGAAGGAACTGGTTCAAGACGTCTCATTTGCCGTGTACAGCATGTCAGCACCAATGATTGAAGGCTCGTATGTGCTTTGCTCTACTCGGGATGGCGATATCTGCTTCATAAGAAACCCTTATCCGCCTTCTCTCGCCACAGTTATAGGCCCCTGCACACTGCATGTCAGTTGGGGAGAGGAAGGCTCATCTTTGCACCCTGGCTCAACGGAGGGAGGTGTTATCTGCGTTGCAATGAACCAACTCACCCTCTCACCTTCTCCCTTTCCCCAACCTTTCCTTTTCCCCCCTTATAGGCCCTGGCACACAGCATGGCAGCAGGGGGAAAGGAGGGTTCATCTGTGCTCACTGCGGCTCAACTGGGGGAGGTGATATCTGCGCTGCAGGCGCAGGTGCAGGCTGAGGTGGCAACGCATCATGACGACCTCCTGCAGCAGCTATCCTCGTTAAAAGACACAGAGGGCGTGCTGTCTGTGGTGCGCGCTGGAGTTGACTCGTTACTAGCCTCCGTCCAGGTGCGTTTCTGTGTATGAATGCATGAGTGAATGAAGGATGGAAGAGGACCATGAGCGAGATCGTGCAAGGGAGGGGAGGGGGGTTTCTGAGAGGAGAGGAGGGGGAATCCTGAGAGGAGAGGAGGGGGAATTCTGAGAGGAGAGGGAGAGGGAATTCTGTTATCACTCACTCTTGTGCCTTGAGATTATGTACATGAGGTTCTTACAAAATTTATTAACTGAATCGCTAAAAATTCGCTTGTGCTCTGTCTCCCTGCCCTCAGCGCGTGCGGGCAGAGATAGCAGACCCCTATCGGGCCATTCAGGTGAAGACACGTCAGCTGGCCGCTCTCTACGACACCATGGAGCTGCTGAGAGCAGTCATTAAGTACCTCAAACTGGTGAGCAGGAATGAACTACTTTATGGTGAGCGGAGAAGACTTTGATTTGATTCTCCTCAGAGCTCTCTACGACACCATGGAACTGCTGAGAGCAGTCATTAAATACCTCAAACTGGTGAGTGGAGATTAACTAGCTGGTGACTGGGTGGTGGTGAGTGGAGAATGACTTTTGAGGCACCTTAGCTCTCTACGACACCATGGAGCTGCTGAGAGCAGTCATTAAATACCTCAAACTGGTGAGTAGGAATGAACTACTTTATGGTGAGCGGAGAAGACTTTGATTTGATTCGCCTCAGAGCTCTCTACGACACCATGGAACTGCTGAGAGCCGTCATTAAGTACCTCAAACTGGTGAGCTTTGAGCCGTTTTAGAAGTCCCACAATCGAGTACAATAGAATCAATAGTCGACTCAAATGTCACCTCGACAAGTCAGCTGGCCGCCCTTTTCGACACCATGGAGCTGCTGAGAGCCGCCATTCAATACCTCAAACTGATGAGTCGAGATAAATTACATTACATGGGGGGTGTGGATATTAACTACCTGGTTGTTGTGAGTGGAGACCACGAAAAGTGCAAGCTGTTGGATCGAGGCTATCACAAGGGGAGTCAAGGGTAGTCAATTTCGGTTGATGGAATCCAAGGGGAATGAAGGAGATTCAAGGAGAGTTGGGCGGAAATGCTCCAGTTGGTGCAAATCTTCTGCTGCGAAGCAGATGGAACTTCTTGGCAGGTAGGTAGGTGCTTAGGGAGGCGCAACTGGGGGGGGGGTGCATGTATGTGTAGAGGCACAGCACGAGTGGGTGGCAGAGGCAGGGGCAGGCGGTGTAGGTGTGTTCTGAGGCGCCTCTGAGGTGTGTTTTGAGGGGGGGGCGGTGTAGGTGTGTTCTGAGGCGCCTCTGAGGTGTGTTTTGAGGGGCAGGCGGTGTAGGTGTGTTCTGAGGCGCCTCAAAACTCCCCCAATCCTTACACCACCAACCCTCCTTGTTTGCCCCTTCACCTGATTCTCCGCAAATCCCCCTCCCCCTCCACCTTTTCCCCAGGTGCGCAAGCAAGCTGAGGGAGCACCTGAATGGGGGGGTAGAGAAGGCGGAGCTGGGGAAGGCGGGGCAGGTGTGGCAGGAGACGTCTCAAATCCCCCCATCCCTCCCCCACCCTCTCCTTTCCCCCCCAGGTGCGCAAGCTGAGGGAGCACCTGAGTGGGGGGGTGGAGAAGGCGGAGCTGGGGAAGGCGGGGCAGGTGTGGCAGGAGGTGGGGGCGGTGCACAGGGAGGCGCAGCTGGGGGGGGTGCATGTGGTGGAGGCACAGCATGAGTGGGTGGCGGAGGCAGGGCAGGCTATTAGGAGAGAGGCGATGAGGGCGCTGGAGGGGGGCATGGAGGCGATGAACCAGGCTGAAGTGGGGAGCGTGCTGCAGGTGAGGGGTGCTGCAGGTAAGAATTTGGTTGGGATGGGTGGGGAACGGTGGGGCAGTGAGGGGCAGTGAGGGCCAGTAGGGGTCAATAAGGGGCAGGCTATCAGGAGGGAAGCGATGAAGGCGCTGGAGGGAGGCATGGAGGCGATGAACCAGGCTGAAGTGGGGAGCGTGCTGCAGGTGAGGGGTGCTGCAGGTGAGGGGTGCTGCAGGTGAGAGGTGCTGCAGGTGAGAGGTGCTGCAGGTGAGAGGTGCTGCAGGGGAGAGGGTTGCACATGTGAGTGGGTGTTGGAGACGCAGCTGAGGGGGGTTTTGAGTCGACTACAGAAATCGACTCAAGAGTCGACTAAAAAAAGTGGGTGGTGGAGGCACAACAGGAGTGGGTGGTGGAGGCGGGGCAGGCTATACGGAGAGAGGCTATGAAGGCGCAGGAAGGAGGCATGGAGGCGATGAACCAGGCTGAAGTGGGGAGAGCGTGCTGCAGGTGAGAGGAGAGAGTTAGGGCTTTCGGTGAAGGAGAAAGGACAGGGGAACTGGACAGAAATGGGGGGAGTGGAGAGGAGAGGAATAGGGAATGGGAGCATAGAGGCGATGGGCTAGGTTGAAGTCAGGAGCATGATGGGCACTCTCCTCTCCTCTCACCCTAGCCCATCGCCTCTATGCTGCAGGTGAGAGGAGAGAGTTTCAGAAAGGGGGTTGAAACGGAAATGAAGGGTGACGAAAGGGGAGAGGGGGTTTGTCGAAGGGGATTAAAGGAACCCGCCCGTTCGTCCACTTCTCTTGATTAGTTTTTTCATGATTTAAAACCTTGAAAGTGATGTAAGCTCAAAACAACTCTCTCCTCCTTTTTCATCTCTCCTTCCTCTCCTCCCTCCCCTCCCTTTTTTTTTGCGTGTGTGTGTGTGTGTGTGTGTGTGTGTGTGTGTGTGTGTGTGTGTGTGTGTGTGTGTGTGAGTGTGTGTGTGTTGTCGCATTATCTCAGGTGTTTTTCAACATGGGTGAGCTGAGGCAGACGGTGGATCAGCTGGTGGCGAAGCACAAGGGGCAGGCCATGCGAGCCGTGGCCACAGGGCTCGACATGAAGGTATGGGCTTTCCTTTTTGATTTCACATCGAAGGTGCTTTGCTTGGCTATTCTTGGGCGTGGAAGGTGTATGGGACGTTCCTGACGCCCTCGAAGCACAAGGGGCTTCAGCCGCCCTCGAAGCACAAGGGGCTTCAGCCGCCCTCGAAGCACAAGGCGCTTCAGCCGCCCTCGAAGCACAAGGGGCTTCAGCCGCCCTCGAAGCACAAGGGGCTTCAGCCGCCCTCGAAGCACAAGGGGCTTCAGCCGCCCTCGAAGCACAAGGGGCTTCAGCCGCCCTCGAAGCACAAGGGGCAGGCTATGCAAGCAGCGGCCATGGACTCTTTTTTGTGTGCCCTGCCAGTTGTGGCTTCCCTTCATGGAAGTCGCAAGTTATCATTTCTGCACCCTTCTCGCACGTACATGCCTGTCTCCCTCTCATGTCTCTGCACTCGTTGTTGCCTCACTCACCCCTCACTACCCCTCACTGTTGTTCTCCCGGCAAGCAGGCTATCAGTGCGAGCATGGGAGCATCAGGAGGTGGAGGAGGCTTGGGTGGCTCCGTGGGCGGACCAGGTATGCGTATAGTCCGTCCGTACGCCCTCCTTGCTATCTGAACTCGTTTCAAGGTGACTTTTGAGTCGACTCAAAAGTCGCTTGGGTGGCTCCGTGGGCGGACCAGGTATGCGTATAGTCCGTCCCGTCCGTACGCCCTCCTTGCTATCTGAATTCGTTTCTTGAACTCGAGACAAGCTTGCAGTGCTAACCTGGTGCGCATTGGAACTTGATTCGACGTTACAGTTCGTTCATCGCCTCGCCCACAATGGTCCCCCGCTGCCATCTGCACCTCTCACTACCCCGCCTTTCCCCATTGGGTCTCTCTCTTCCTCCCATTCCCAGGAGGAGCCATGTGCAGCGGTACACCTCCAATGGGCGGCGCGGCGTACCTAGAGCCTGGGAGGCCCTGTGGCAGCGGCGGCTGAGTAACTGAGCTGGTTCGAAGCTCATCTGCTCCCGTTCCTGAGTTCACTTTTTCCCGTTCCCCCCGCCTGTCCCCCCTGCCTGTCCCCCCTACCTGTCCCCCTTGCTCTCCCAGGGGGGGGCATGCGCAGCGGCACTCCTCCAATGGGTGGCGCCCCCAGAGCGCGAGAGGCGCTGTGGCAGCGGCTGACTGGATGCCTGGATGAGCTGGCGCGTGTTATGGTGCTGACGTGGCACCTGCAGCGAGTGATGGCGAAGAAGCGAGATCCAATCTCGCATGTCGTGTTTCTGGACCACGTGCTGCAGGTGGGGTGTGGGGTGTGGGGTGGGGGGGTATACGGGGGTGTGCAGTGCAGGTGCTGCTGCAAGCACAGAGATCCGATCTCGCATGTCGTGTTTCTGGACCACGTGCTGCAGGTGGGGGGCAAGGGCGGGGATGGGGGCGGGGATGGGGGGGGGGGGGGGAGGGGGGGTGGTGTTATGTTCTGCAGGGGATTTGCGTACTGAAGTGGTCGAGGCTACAAGAAGCGCGGTCCGATCTCGCATGTCGTGTTCCTAGACCACGTGCTGCAGGTGGGGTGGGGTTTGTAGAAGTGGGGGGGAACAGGTGGGGTAGGTGTGGAGTCTGTTATGTACCTGTCGCTTCTTCTGTTGTGCCACAAGAAGCGAGATCCAATCTCTCATGTGGTGTTCCTAGACCACGTGCTGCACTGCAGGTGGGGGGGTGGGGCGGGGTGGGGTGGGTGCATTAGTGTGGTGCATTCATGTACTGCAAGTGAGGTGCCACAAAGAGAGATCCGATCCTATCGAGCATGTGATGAACCACGAGCCACGTTCACCGCCTCCTCCTTCCTCAAAGAGACCTTCGTCTCCGCCTACCCCCGCCTCCCCGCCTCCATAGAGTCCTTCCTGGACCGGCCGCAGGCCGATACAGACGTGCGCGTGCTGGGGGGAGGGGGAGGGGGAGGCGTGCGCCCAACACTCCTCGCTTCTGTAGAATCCTTCCTGGACCTCTTGCAGGCTGAAACTCCCCCCTTTTCCCTCCATCTTCCCCTTCCCCCGATCCCTCATCCCTCCCTCGCTCCCACCTCTTCCTTCTTCCCCAAATCCAGTCAGGGGATTTGCTGCCCACAGAGCGGGTGTGGGAGGCCTTGCTGCGGGCCTTCTCCTCGCAGCTACGAGCCACGTTCACCGCCTCCTCCTTTGTCAAAGAGACCTTCGTCTCCGCCTATCCCCGCCTCCTCGCCTCCCTAGAATCCTTCCTGGACCGCCTTCAGGCCGATACAGACGTGCGGATTCTGGGCGGAGGGGGAGGCGGACTGGGAGGAGGAGCGGGAGGAGCGGGAGGAGGAGGGTTTGGGTTGGGAGCGGTTGGAGGCGGTTCTGTGGTGGCTGGTTCGTGGGCGAATGGCGGCACGCCAGCTGTCATATCTGTGGAGCATCGTGCGCAGATGTTGGCTGCTTTGGAGCCGTTTCAGACAGCCTATCTGGCCCTCTCGCTCTCTAGAATGACCGACCCGATCAACACCATGATGCCAGCCGCAGGGGGTGGGAGGGGAGGCGTGCCGGGGCCGGAGGGGGGGGTGAGGCTTATAACGAGGATGGAGGAGGAGGTGGAGGCGGTGAAGGGGAATGGGCGGTTGTTGAGGCTCGTGCTGGCGAATGCGGGCAAGGCGCTTCAACTGCTGGCCGAGCGATGTGAATACCAGGTGGGATGTGTGGTGGTGTGTCATGATGTGTGAGGCATAACCATTCCAGGGGCTGCTGAGGCTCGTGCTGGCGAATGCGGGCAAGGCGCTTCAACTGCTGGCCGAGCGATGTGAATACCAGGTGGGATGTGTGGTGGTGTGTCATGATGTGTGAGGCATAACCATTCCAGGGGCTGCTGAGGCTCGTGCTGGCGAATGCGGGCAAGGCGCTTCAACTGCTGGCCGAGCGATGTGAATACCAGGTGGGATGTGTGGTGGTGTGTCATGATGTGTGAGGCATAACCATTCCAGGGGCTGCTGAGGCTCGTGCTGGCGAATGCGGGCAAGGCTCTGCAGCTGCTGGCAGAGCGGTGTGAATACCAGGTGTGTGTGGGATGGGTGTGGGCGCATGTGTGTGGTAATGCGTTGTTCTGGCGAATGCATGCAACGCGCTGCATGCAGGTGCCTGTGTGTTCTACTGGTAGCAGTGCACTCACTACTTTTTCTCTTTATCCTTCTAACCTGTCCTTCTCCCCATTACACCTGTAAGAACTGAGCTTGGAATCGATGCATTAGTAATGAGCTTGAAGCTCCTTACGTACATCCGAGATGAGCAAGGTAATGGATGGGGAGGGAATCCGGGGCAATCCCTAGGGATTGGGGGTAATCCCAAGAAAGTCTCCTTTTGGTGGGTTGGAGATTGCTTGGTGATTACATTTGGGTTAGGTTGGGATGTTGTACACCCAACCACACACAAAGTGCAAGATACACTATGGTAGGATATAATTAGTACAAGTACAAAATGTGAGATTGAGGGTTAACACTACCCCTTTCCCCGTTTCTCCCTACGCCCTCCAGGTCGCTACCGGTCCCGAATCTCGTCAAGTCCTGGAATCCTGCTCGCCAGCGCAGCAGCGCAACATCGCCCTGTGCGTGCTGCTAGGAGCAGTGCACACACGCTGCATGCAGCTTCTCACTACTCTCCCCTTTTCCCCTCCCCTACACCCTCCAGGTGGCTACAGGCCCAGAGTCACGCCAGGTCCTCGCCCCCTGCTCGCCAGCCCAGCAGCGCAACATCTCTCTGTGCGTGCTCCTAGGAGCGGTGCACACACGCTGCATGCAGCTGCTGGCCCGCCTGCCAGAGGAGGCAGACTGCGTGATGGAGGCGGGTGTGGGGTCCGTGCATGGCGTGGCTATGGACGCTGTTGCTCCCCTCTTCAAGGTGTGTGGTTTCATCTCCTGCTGGGGTGCTCCTGCTGGGGTGCTCGTGGTGGGGTGCTCCTGCTGGGGTGCTCGTGGTGGGGTGCTTCTGCTGTGTGTTCTGCTGGCTGGGGGCGGTGCACGCACACTGCGTGCACCTACTCGTTTTGAGAGGTCTCAAAACTACTCGCCCGCCTTCCAGAGGAGGCAGACTGCGTGATGGAGGCGGGTGTGGGGTCTGTGCACGGGGTGGCCATGGATGCTGTTGCTCCGCTCTTCAAGGTGTGTGGGTCCATATGATGCTTCATACACAGCACATCAACTTCCATGGGCCATCAGACTCGTTCGACTTTTGAGTCGACTCAAAAGTAAACTTTTCAAGGTGTGTGGGTGGGTCCAAATGATGCTTCATACACAGCACAGCACATGATCCTCCTTGGGCCATCAGACTCAGTGATGGAGGCGGGTGTGGGGTCCGTCCGTGCATGGAGTGGCTATGGACGCTGTGGCTCTGCTGTTGAAAGTTGAAGTCGAGTTTTGAGTGGCATGCTGCCACAGCACTCAAAACTCGACTATTCATGCTCTGGCTCCGCTGTTGAAACTTGAAGGTGTGCTCATCTCATGTTTCAAGGTGCGCACAGCACACCTGGTTTGCACGTGCCGTGCATCTTGCATCTTGGACCGTGATTCTGCATTCTTTGCCGCTGGTGCCTTGTAGCCTGCATCACGCCCCTCCTTCCTCCTCCACCGCCTCGCTTCTGCTCCCGTTCTTCTCTCCATGCCCTTCCCTTTTTGTCAGGCCATGTGGGATCGCATCGAGGCCTGCCTCCTCCAAATCCACCAGCAGGACTTCTACACAGACTACCCCAACGCCCCTCCCTCTTTTGCCTGCCCCGTTCCCCTGCCCACTTTGTTTCTTCCTCCACACACACCTGCGCTCTCCCTCTCCCCAGGCCATGCGCGATCGCATTGAAGCCTGTCTGCTGCAAATTCACCAGCAGGACTTCTCCTCAGACGACCCCCAACACCCCTTTCTTACTTACAACATCCCCACCCTTCCCTCCCTGTTCCCAGGTCATGCGGGATCGCATCGAGGCATGCCTCCTGCAAATCCACCAGCAGGACTTCTCCTCAGACGACCCCAACGCCCCTTCCTCCTCCACTTCCCCCTTTCTCTTCTCCGTGCCCTCCCCGTTCCCAGGCCATGCGCGACCGCATCGAAGCCTGTCTCCTGCAAATCCACCAGCAGCTCTTCTCTTCAGACGACGTGTAAACAGAAGTGTTTTGAGACGTCTCAAAACCTGTCTCCTGCAAATCCACCAGCAGCTCTTCAGACGACCCCAACGCTCCTCCCTCCTCTCACCCTCCACTTCCTGTTTCTTTCTCCATGCCCTCCCCCGTCCCCAGGCCATGCGGGATCGCATCGAGGCATGCCTTCTTCAAATCCACCAGCAGGACTTCTCATCAGACGACCCCAACGCCCCTCCCTCCTCCACCACCCCGCCACCCCGTGGGTCGGCCTCAAGAAACCGTACCAGCAGCAGCGGGGGATCCACACCACCCCACAAGCACAACCAGCACAACCAGAATCAGCAGCAGCAGCACGAGTCAGCGGGGGACAACTGCTCGCCATACATGGAGAACACCATTCGAGCCATCACCCACTTCCACTCTGAGTTTCTCTCCAAGCTTCTTCTCCCTGACTCCTCCTCTACCTCCTCCTTTGCAGCAGCGCCGGCCTCGTCCATATTCGCTGCATCTCTGTCCGGTGCTGCGGGATCAGGCCCTCTCTCTCCCTCCACCGCCCTGCCCCCTGCGACTGTCTCGGAACCTGTTGCGCAGTCTCTCGCGAAACGGTGAGCTTGTTCTTTAGACAGTCGCTGTATCGTCTATATTCGCTGCATCTCTGTCCGGTGCTGCGGGATCAGGCCCTCTGTCTCCCTCCACAGCCCTGCCCCCTGCGACTGTCTCAGAGCCTGTTGCCCAGTCTCTCGCAAAGCGGTAAGCTCCAACTTTTGAGTCGACTCGAAAGTCACCTCTTGCAAAGCGGTAAGCTCCTTTCTGGAGACGTCTCTGTCTATTCCATATTCGCTGCACCTCTATCAGTGCCGTGGGTTTAGGAGGCCCTCTCTCCCCTCCTCTGTTCCTGCTCCCTGCGACTGTCTCGGGCACTGTTGCTCACCTTGCAAAACGGTGGGCTCTTGTGTGTGCTTCTTTGTTTCACCTCTGAGAAATCTCCAAACTCTCCCTCTACAGCCCTGCCCCCTGCGACTGTTTTAGAGCCCGTTGTGCATTCCCTGACATGACAAATCGATGGCTCTCGTGTGTGCTTCTTTGACATCTCAGAACCTGATCACTTCTGAGAATCCTTTAAGAAAATCTCCCTTCATTGCCCTGTCCCCTGCCTCTCTCCCCCTCCCCCTCCCCTTCCTCTCCCTCTCCCCCTCCCCCTCCCCCTCCCCCTCCCCCTCCCCCTCCCCCTCCCCTCCCCCTCCCCCTCCCACGCACTCAGCCTGGCAACCCGCACAGTTCTATTTTTCGTGCGCCACGCCGCGCTGGTGCGGCCGCTATCAGAGGCAGGGCTGTTGAGGCTGGCGAGGGACAGCACGCTCCTCCTTTTTTTCCCTCTTCCCTTAATACGATATCCACTTTCTCTGCGCCCTTTCCCCCTCCCCTTCCCACTCCCCCTCCCCCTGCCCTCTCCCTATTCTCTCCTCCCCCCTCAGCCTGGCATCCCGCACTCTGCTCTTCTTCGTGCGCCACGCATCACTTGTACGACCGCTGTCAGAGGCGGGGCGGCTGAGGCTGGCGAGGGACATGGGCGAGCTGGAGTTCGCCGTGGGGCAGCACCTCTTCCCCACACACGCCCTCGGCGCCTCCTACCGTGCTCTCCGCGCCTTCCGCCCTCTGCTCTTCGTGGACCTGGAGAAGATCCCCACCAGCTCACTGCTACAGGTCAGTCAGTCTGGTAATTGTAATGAGAGTCTCTGCATTAGTATAGAGGTCGCATCCCAGTGGGGCAGCATCTCTTTCCCACACACGCCCTCAGGGCCTCCTACCGCGCCCTCCGCGCCTTCCGCCCGCTGCTTTTCGTGGACCTGGAGAAGATTGCAACCAGCTCGCTGCTGCAGGTGCGCCCATTGGTTGTAACAAAGGTGGTTACCAATGTGCCAGTGCTGGTCTACTGCGATTAAGGAGTTGGCATCACAGTCAGGCGAGGGACATGGGCGAGCTTGAGTTTGCAGTGGGCCAGCGTCTATTCTAGTTTTGAGTCGACTAAAAACTAGGCTCATCACACACGGATTTTGAGTCGACTCAAAACTAGGCTCATCACACACGGATTTTGAGTCGGCTCAAAACTAGGCTCATCACACACGGATTTTGAGTCGACTCAAAACTAGGCTCATCACACACGGATTTTGAGTCGACTAAAAACTAGGCTCATCACACACGGATTTTGAGTCGACTCAAAACTAGGCTCATCACACACGGATTTTGAGTCGACTCAAAACTAGAGTTTGCAGTGGGCCAGAGTCTATTCCCTACACATAATAGGGGTTTAGGGAAGACCTCCGTAATCCTCCTATCGCGCCCTCCGTGCCTTCCGCCGTCTGCTCTTCGTAGACCTCGAGAAGATCCCCACCAGCTCACTGCTGCAGGTGCGTCCACTGGTTGTAACATATGTTAAATTTCCCGCTTATTAATTTCAAACGGACGTCCAAAGTTTGATGGATTGACAGAAACCCGAATCAATTTAAGTCCGTACGCGGTCTATGGCAAAGCCTGTTGTGCCACTTATACATGTTACCTTTGCACCCACACACACCCTCGTGCCCTCTGCACCTTCACGCCCCTTCACGCCCCTTCTGTTCCTGGACCTTTAAAATATCTCAACCAGCCTTCTCTGTCCTCTCACTCCTGCTCTACAATGAAGGGGTTCTTTTGAAACCTCTCAAAACTGTTCACTCACTCCCGCTCTCCCCACTTGCTCTCATGTCTCCCCTCGCCCATTCTACCCAGGTCCTCCCCCCAAGCGTTGTCCTGCACCACCTCTTCTTCCGCGCGCCCCCGAGATGCTCTCCCCATTCACCTGCTCGTTGCCTCACTATAATTTTCCCCCTTCTTCTCCCCCGGACCCCCCTACTCACCCCCCCAGGAGACTTTTGAGTCGACTCAAAAGTCACCCCATTCACCTGCTCGTTGCCTCGCTATAATTTTCCCCCTTCTCCCCCCAGACCCCCCTACTCACCCCCTTCACCTTCTCTTTGCCTCACTTGGACCCCACCATTCCCCCTGACAGGACCTCCCCCCAAGCGTTGTCCTGCACCACCTCTTCTTCCGCGCGCCCCCGAGATGCTCTCCCCATTCACCTGCTCGTTGCCTCACTATTATTTCCCCCCTTCTCCCCCCGGACCCCCCTACTCACCCCCCCAGGACCTCCCCCCAAGCGTTGCCCTGCACCACCTCTTCTCCCGCGCGCCCCCCGAGCTGCTCTCCCCGTTCACACGCATTCAGCAGCCCCCAGCACGCTACTCGCTCTGGCTGGACCAGCACTCGCAGCAGCAGGAGGAGCAACTTTTGCACACAACGCACCCACTTCCCCTGTGCTTTTGCTCCTTCCGCCAGGTTTTGTCACTCCATTCACTCCCGTTGCCCCCTCTTGCTCTCCCTCTCCCTCCCCCGCAGGACCTCCCTCCAAGCGTTGTCCTGCACCACCTCTTCTCCCGCGCGCCCCCTGAGCTGCTCTCCCCATTCACACGCATTCAGCAGCCTCCAGCGCGCTACTCGCTCTGGCTGGACCAGCACTCGCAGCAGCAGGCGTGGCAGGGCATCAAGGCGTCATTAGACGATTATGTGGGGAGTGTGAAGGCGAGGGGTGGGAAGGAGTTTCACCCGGTTTATGCTGTGATGCTGCAGCTGGGGCAGATGCTGTTGGTGGGAGGTAACGAGGGCAAGTAGTGCTCCCTCTGGCTTTTTTCGGGGCCCCTCAAAATAGCACTCACTCTGGCTGGACCAGCACTAGCAGCAGCAGGCGTGGCAGGGCATCAAGTCGTCATTAGACGATTACGTGGGGAGTGTGAATGCGAGGGGTGGGAAGGAGTTTCACCCAGTGTATTTGGTGATGCTGCAGCTGGGGCAGGCTCTGCTGGCAGGAGGCAACGAGGGCAAGTAGTTGCATTAGTGGCATTCGTGCCATCTGCTGTTAGGTTCGGAATGTCCCAGAACTGGCGGGAGTTCAAGTTTGGTAGGTGCTGATGGCACAGTGGTAGGGGCAGCGAGATGCTGTGATGAGTTGCTCTGCATACACTCTCACTGGTATATATTCATCAAAACATATTACAACAAAGTGCACAACCTCTCTGGATTTGCCTCTAGATTTAGATTACAACACTTGCGAACCAACCAACAAACCCTCCTGCCATGTCTCTCATGCATCTCACTCAACCATGTGAAACAGAAGACGTCATGAGGCTTCTGTCTCAACACAACATCGCAGCAACCAGCCCACGTCCACACTTTGCCTTGTCGAAGGAGAGCAGCACGCGGAAGTTGACTTTTGAGTCGACTCAAAAGTCAGAAGACGTCATGAGGCTTCTGTTCTGTCTCAACACAACATCGCAGCAACCAGCCCATGTCCACACTTTGCCTTGTCGAACGAAAGCAGCGCGCGGAAGCCCGACCACGGCTGGTCCCAGATCTCCGCCACGTAATCAGTCAGCGGTGCGACTGCGCGGCGCCCCAGGGAGTTGCTCGGTGAGGACTGTGTGACGCGCAGAATGATTTGCCACTTGTCGCCGTCCACCACCTTGTGCGACGCCGCCTTGACAGAGCGGAACTTGAGGCTTGATTTCTGGTAGGGTGGGGTGGGGTGGTGTGGGGTGGGGTGGGGTGGGGGTGAGTTACCGCAGCACGATTTGCCACTTGTCGCCATCCACCACCTTGTGCGACGCCGCCTTGACAGAGCGGAACTTGAGGCTTGACTTCTGGTAGGGTGGAGTGGGGGGAAGGGAATGGGATGTTTCCGTTGTGCCACACTATTATTCCAGGGAAGGTACGTCTTCCTTGTCATGATTTGATTTCGAGATAAGCACTGATGGCGGAAAAGCAAGAATGACGAGAAAGAACACATGGCGGGAAAGCAATGATAGCGAAAAAGCAATGACCACGAAAACAATGATGGCGCGAAAGCAATAATAGCGAGAAAAGTTGCTCGTGCTACCTGTGTCTTGTTCTGCTCGTCCACGGTGAATCTGTCCAAAGCCTCCACGTCCTTACTTGTAGCCGCGTGTGTGTTTGGGTCGAGTTGGAAGCCATGATGTCGAGAAAGCATCTTGCCTCTTCTGCGTACCTGTTGCTTGTTCTGCTCGTCGACGGCGAATCTGGCCAACGTCTCCATGTTCTTATTCGTCGCCGCGTTTGAGTTGAGTCCCCTTGAAAACAATCATGACCAGAGAGGCTCTTCGACGTACCTGTTTCTTGTTCTGCTCGTCGACGGCGAATCTGGCCAAAGCTTCCATGTTCTTACTCGTCGCCGCGTCTTTCACGGTGGTCCAGGGGCCAGGAAGGCCAGATGCCGCGGCGCACGGAAACGAGGAGAGGAGCGACACGACGACGACGACTGCGGTAACGGCAAGCACGGCGTGCTTAGGGTTCAGACCGTGACTGGCGATGCGCTGACCCATGATTGGTCGTTAGGGACTCCCTGAAGATCGGATACCGGGATAGGAAGAATGATAGGATCGATAGGATTGATAAGAGTCAAGAGGACATAAAAAAAGTTCTCCCTCCTTAGCCGGAAATTCTTGCAAATTATACCGCATATGATCCGCCAGCTAGTCGGAAACGGCTGGTTCCTGCTGACGGTGAGCAGATTTATTGGTTGGACCATGGCTGCTCTATGGAACAGCAATAAGTGCTGGTTCGCTGGTGTCATAACTCTTATTCGACCAATAAACTAGCGACACAACGACTGCTTGCGGATGCGTGTAATTAGCTGCTGGCCAGTAACTAGCGCCGTGAATTATCTACGAACCGAGTTTGCTCGGCCATTATCTCCGATACTCAGATTTTGCCTGAGGGCGTTCTCAGGTGTAATCACCAACAGAAACACAGTTTCTCGATATAGTGTGAAGCTATTCTGTCTCATGTTTGTAAACAGTCACTCAAAAAAAGGAAGTCTAGCACTTGCAAAAAATAAATCTAATGCCCGTAGCGAACCTAAATGTTTTCCGGGAAGGATCAACCCTAAACACCGAAAGCCTCCAAATATTTTGGAAAACATATTGCAACCCACTTGGCATAATACCCACATCGGAAAGGGATGCGACTCGGGAGGCATCAACCCTAAAAACAATGCTAATTTCCGTGTTTAGGATTGACCCCTCTCGAAAATGCATCCAGGTTCCCTAGGGGTTTTATTTTTTTCTGCCATGCCCGAATAGGTCTCGGTAGCGTCGTCTAGTGCTTTCGGTAGCGTTGTTTAGCGGTCGGTTGCGCTACTGAGCACTACCAAGTGAATTATATGGGCTTCATTCTCTTACTACCTTAATTTCCGTACATATATCCAGGTCGGGAGGGTAGAGTAGATGGTTTTGTTTTTTGTCACTTCCTAATGAGTTCGACCAGCGTGAGAAATGTGACTAAAAAGCGATGACCAGTCAACGTTGAGAAAGTCCAGGTTGATTACACCTGAGAACACGCTCAGGCGAAATCTGAGTATCGGAGATAATGGCCGGAGTTTGCTTTGCAAACGCGCAAGATGGCAGCTGATAGGCTACCGCGTGTTGTCCTGGCTCGGCAAACGCTATTCACGGCGGGTCCTGCGCGTTCGTTTGCGGTTCATCAGTCGTGGCGCAAGACGGTGCACAGCGGTTATCAGGCTTCACCGTTTCGCACCGTGACGCAACAGGAGTAACCGCACAGAACGTAGTCAGCCAAGTTCAAATGTGAATGCGAGTGAACGCGCAAGATGGCAGCTGATAGGCTACTCCGTGGAAGTGCAAGCTCGGCAACACCAAATGCTCGCCTGCCCGAACGGGTAGTACGGGGCGGCGGGTGCGGAGCGGAGGGATTGTGATAGTGATCGACTCTAGAGTAATGTGACTCGGCAGGCAATTCAATTCGAAAATCACCTCCACTTCTGTCACAAGATAAAAAAATTGGCGCGGAAGTGTACAGAGGACAATGACACCTAACAATGTTACAAGATACTTAGATTGGTTTTCTGTTACGTTGTTCCAATTTTCACTAAAGCAACATCCTCTCGCCACCTTAGCCTTGGGAATCAAGAAAGCCGGTACGTGTTCCCCTTATTATATTTCAATACAGAATGCACATTTTTACCAGCACAGTGGTATAGGACTAAGCAGAGGCGGCACACTTCACACTACAGTGCCATACATCCAGCCCACAACAGCCTACAACAGCTAAACAACTGCTAAACTCTGTAAGTTTGCTTGAACTTTCACCCTTGTCTCGCTTCTACCCTGTATACTTGCCAAGGAGAGCACCTCGTCAAAGCTCGCCTGTATTTTGAAATGCCTCAAGAGTCAGCAATCAGTGCAATCAAGCCGCCGCTCATTTCTTCTTGGCAAAGGAGACCAGCTTGAGAGAACCCGCCAACGCCGGCTGTTTCACCGCCAACGTCTGCCCACCGCCCACCGGCTGCGCTCCGCCCGACGTCTGCGCTCCGCCCGACGTCTGTCCGTCTCCCACCGGCTGTGCTACCCCCGCCGGCTGTCCATCTCCCACTGCCGGCTGCGCTCCGCCTGACGACTGCCCATCCCCCACCACCGGCCCTTGTACAAACGGCTGTACTGCCAGGTGTGCTACCCCCGTAGGCTGCTTTGCCGCTGCTGTAGGTTTCTCGAAAACCTCGGTCACGTAGGTGGTCAGGGGTGGGTTGATGCGGATGTGCCCGGTGTTCGCTGCTGGGGCGACGGCTTGCAGAGTGATGCTCCACTTGGTGCCGGCTCCCACCTGGCTCCTGGCACTCTCGACTGAAATTAACCTGAGGCGCGCTTTCTGGTGCGGTGGGTTGGGGCGGTGTGGAGTGGGGTGGGGTGGGGTGGGGTGGGAAGGAAGAAAAGAGGCTTGTGATGCTCCACTTGGTGCCGGCAACCACCTGGCTCTTGGCACTCTCGACCGAAATCAACCTGAGGCGCGTGTTCTGAGGGAGTGGGGTGGGGTGGGTTGGGGCGGGGTGGGATTGGGTGGGTAAGGAATGAAAGCACTTGAGCCTTGTCACGGGGCATCGTGACAAGGCAACTGCAGCCTTCAGGAAGACGAACCTGGGGTTCCTGTTCTGGCGGGGTGAAGTGCGGTGGGGGGTTGGGGAGGGGAGGGGAGCGAGGAGGGGAGGGGAAGGAAGTACTAAAGGGCTTACATGCCAGTAAGTGAGGGTTCGTTAGAAGCAGCCATGACGTGATACTGTAACACGTGGAACCTGAGGGTCGTGTTCTGGTGTTGTGGGGCGGGGGATGAGGAGGGGGGGAGAGTAGAGGCTTGTGGCCGCCATTGGCGTTGCAACAAGGCGAGACTTGACCGAGAGGATATTCGGCTCGGGATCTGGCGGGGTGGGGTGAGGAGGGAATGGGAGGAAAAAATTCTGAGGCACCTCAACAGACAGTGGTTACTGAAGGCTCTGGTACTGAGACGTCTCCAACACATATGATTATTAGGAAATTTCTATATGATCCAGCGTCTAGGGTTTCGGTTTTTTTTATATATATAATCCAGCGTCTTTCTTGTTGTGTGCGTGGACGGCGAAGTTTGCCAACTCAGTCCTCATTCGTCGCCAAGTCTTTCAGGTGTTTCTTAGGCCGTTAAAAATGTTATTTTCTAAGTCAAATGCATGAAAGCAATAACGGCGACCAACGTTTCTTTAAGTACCTGTTTCTTGTTGTACGCGTCGACGGCGAAGCTGGCGAGGTCCGCCACGTGCTGATCCGATGCCGCGTTTTTCACGGTAGACCAACCGCCAGCACGCGGAGTTGCCGCCGCAGCCGACGGAATCGCGGAGAGGAGAGAAACGACGACGATAGCGACTGCTGCCACGGCAAACACGGCGAGATTAACGTGACTAGCGATGCGCCGACCCATGATTGGTTGTTCGTGATATCGGACGAGTATGATAAAAGGAAAGACGGGTTTATATGAGACAGAAGGCTATTAGAAAAGCAAATCACTCCTGTATGCAATTACGGATTGCTGTTCCTAACCGTTCACTCTCTGCCAGTTTGTAGTGCTCCATGAAATATGCCAGCTAGTGCCAAACTGCTTGACTATGAATGGCATTATTGCTCGGGTCACGGCTGCTATGCGGGAGAGCGGAAAGTGCGGGGTTGCCAGCGCCATCTTTCCGGTTTGCATAGGGAACGCGCGGAACGACGACCGATTAGCTGATGCATGCAAGTACCACTCGCCAGCGCCATGAAAAAGGAGCTTGCAAACGCCCAAAACGGCAACGGATTGGCTGCTACACGCAAATGGTGCCTCGCCAGCGCCATAACTCGAAATGTTCTTCCGACTGTGAACGCGCAAAATGGTAGATGATAGGCTAGTGCGTGTGCCATGGATTCAGTCCGTGGTTTTGGCTGTGATGTGAACCCGCAAAACGCGGCTGCTGCTGAGGGGGGAATAAACTTATTGGAGCTGATCCGAGTAAGGGCACGTTCTGTCCGAGTCAAGAGACTTTGGTTTCCGTGCTTGACACGAAGTCGGACGACCCAAAGAGACGGATCCACGATTTTATGACAGGCACTTCGAGAGTTCTTGACCCGAATAGAGGCTGGCTCGACGTTCCACACGAAAACGCCCTAAAATGATGTGGTTGACAAAAAGTCGTTGTTATTTGATCCCCCTTACAGTGAGCGCACAATTCAGGGCTGCTTCTGAGAAATAGCATTCTGAGCTCCTTAGAGTAAATTAAAATTTCGTAAATATTTACTGCTAATGTTGTCTCTGAGCGTACATCTTGAGAATGTAGAGTAATGATAAGGCTGAGAACATATTTTTCGTGGTCAGTATTGGCCGGATTAGGGTAATTGAATTATATTGATTTGCACTTGCCCATATCTACATCCTAGCATTACTCTGAATTGGCAATAGCGAGTATATATTCCTCACGATTTTTTCACGACTGACCGAAGGCTTCTCGAGTGTTGGCTTTAGCACAAAGGCAGGAAGGGGAAGTAGGCACTCCGCAGGAACAGACCGCTTCTGTAACTAGCCGCTTTTGACGGCGGAGAGTGGTTTAGTGCGGCACGAGAGGGAGAGACTGCGAGAATCGAACAACGGAGCATTTGAAAAGCATCGGCGCCGCGCAATCGTGCGTAACCGACGCGGTAGGCTTGGCGGTCCACGGATCGGCTTGGTGCGATAAGAGGCTTGGCTTTTTACACTCGACTAGAAGAAAACACGACGAAGGAAGAAAAGCCTACAGCGGCTCAAGAGGCAACGCGGGGAGAGATCTCGCTTCGCTCGCCCTTGAAAGGCGACGAGGGAGAGAAGAAGAGCAAGGAGCCATGGCGCAGATGGTTCCGCTTGATAACTCCCTCATAAATCTCGCCTCCCTCAGGTACGGCCTCCCTCAAGTACCGCCTCCCCCAGGTAATGCTTCCCAGAAGGTAGTGCCTCCTTCAGGCAATGCCACCCTCAGGTAATGCCTCCCTCAGGTACTGCCTTCCTCAGGTGTTGCCTCCCTCAGGTGCTGCCTCCCTCAGGTGCTGCCTCCCCCAGGTGATGCCTCCCAGAAGGTAGTGCCTCCTTCAGGTAATGCCTCCCTCTGGTGCTGCCGCCCTCAGGTTCTGCCTCCTTCAGGTGTTGCCTCCTTCAGGTACTGCCTCCTTCTGGTGTTGCCTCCTTCAGGTACTGCCTCCTTCAGGTGCTGCCTCCTTCAGGTGTTGCCTCCTTCAGGTACTGCCTCCTTCTGGTGTTGCCTCCTTCAGGTACTGCCTCCTTCAGGTGCTGCCTCCTTCAGGTGTTGCCTCCTTCAGGTGCTGCCTCCTTCAGGTGTTGCCTCCTTCAGGTGCTGCCTCCTTCAGGTGTTGCCTCCTTCTGGTGTTGCCTCCTTCAGGTACTGCCTCCTTCTGGTGTTGCCTCCTTCAGGTACTGCCTCCTTCAGGTGCTGCCTCCTTCAGGTGTTGCCTCCTTCAGGTGCTGCCTCCTTCAGGTGTTACCTCCTTCAGGTGCTGCCTCCTTCAGGTGTTGCCTCCTTCAGGTGCTGCCTCCTTCAGGTGCTGCCTCCTTCAGGTGTTGCCTCCTTCAGGTGCTGCCTCCTTCAGGTGCTGCCTCCTTCAGGTGTTGCCTCCTTCAGGTGCTGCCTCCTTCAGGTGTTACCTCCTTCAGGTGCTGCCTCCTTCAGGTGTTGCCTCCTTCAGGTGCTGCCTCCTTCAGGTGCTGCCTCCTTCAGGTGTTGCCTCCTTCAGGTGCTGCCTCCTTCAGGTGCTGCCTCCTTCAGGTGTTGCCTCCTTCAGGTGCTGCCTCCTTCTGGTACTGCCTCGAACTGCCTCGAACTACCTCCCCCTCATGTACTCAGCTAGAAACTGCCTCAGTTTAAAGCTCGCGTCTCATATTTTTATCCGTTTTACACTTGAGAGCGTTTAACACCTGGTTGGGTTCCGTGACTGGTTGACGAATGACAAAATCTGTGACGAGCTGGGGTGCGATTCTGGTGGAACCAATCATGGACATGCAAACCCAACCGAGCTTTAAGGTACTACCTGGCGCATTGGCACCCTCCCAGGTAAGGTGTCCCTCGAGGTTACTATCCTCTCCTCCCCCCACTCTCCCTCAAGGTATTGTCCTCTCCTGCCCACCACCCCACCCCCCCGCTCCCCCCTCTCTCTCCTTCAAGGTATTATCCTTCTGCAACCCCCCCCTCCCATGCCCTTCCCTCTTTTTCCCTCCTATACCCCTCCCGCTATGTTTCTGTGTGACCTGACCCCCCTCCCCCACCATCCTCCACACCCTCCTCCACACCCTCCCCCTCCCTCCCGCCCTCTCCCCCCCCCCCCCTCCCCCCCCCCTCCCCCCTCTCCCTGTGTGCCTCCTGCGAGCAGAGCACACGCCAGTCAACGCCTCGTTGACGCCCTTGACTCTGTGAGTTGACCTGCGTTGACTGGTCTCACTCGTTGCTGCTCATCACCCTTACCAGTTCCAGCCGTCCCATTTTTTACTAGTAGCTTTCCGAACCCCCTTTTCAGTTTTGTCGTACACCTTTCATCTACGCTGACTAATATCCATCCCACCCTCCCACCCTCCCATCACCCCATCACCCCATCATCGCACACTTTCAGTTTTGCCGTGCACCTATCATCTATCCTCAACGCCCAAGCTACTACACTGTCCAATTTCCATCCCAACCTCTCATCATCCCGTCCCATCACCCCATCATCCCATTATCCCGCCATCTCCCATCCTATCGCATCCCATCCCATCCCACCGCATTCCACCAGGTGCCGGGCGGCAAGGCTCTAGTGCTGGATGCGTCTATCAGCGGCCCGCTCGCCTTCATTGCCCCCATCGCCCTCCTCAAGCTGGGCTCGGTGATGCTTCTGTCAGTCAGTTGGTCAGTTGGTCGATCCATGTGTTCACCATCAGTATACCCATCATCACTATCAGCGGTATTCGGGGACTGTAGGTTGGTCCCCCCCCTCCCACACGTCAATCAGCGGCCCACTCGCCTTCATTGCTCCCATCGCCCTCCTCAAGGTGGGCCCAGCGATGGTTGCGTTAGTCAGTTGGTCAGTTGGTCGATCCATGTGTTCACCATCAGTACACCCATCATCACTATCAGCGGTAGTTGGGGCCCGGTAGGGCAGTCCCCTCCCACTCGTCTATCAGCGGCCTGCTCGCTTTCATTGCTCCCATCTCTCTCCTAAAGGTGGGTGGGGTGGGCCCCTCAAGCCCAGCCATATACGCTTTGCTGCTCTCCCTCTCCCAACTCCATTTCCGCACCCCATTCCCCCACTACATTCCCCCACTCCATTCCCCCACTCCATTTTCCCACTCCACTTCCCCACTCCATTTCCCCCACTCCACGTCCCCATTTCGTTCCCTCACCCCGCTTTCCCGCTTCATTCCCCCACTCCGTTCTGCCACGTCTTTCTCCACTACTGCCCCCACTCACTCCATTCCTCTTATCCAATCCGTTCCTCCCACTCTCCTCTTCCCTGTTCTCCCTGTCCGTTCGTTACAGGAACACGGAGTCGAGAATCTGTTCCACATCACATCATATATAAGCGCCTAAAAAAATCTCCACCTCCCTTTGCACTTCTTCTGCTCGTTACAGGAACACGGAGTGGAGAACCTGTTCCACATCAGCGCCGAACCCATCCAATCACAGTGCTCCACCGTCCTCTACCTCCTGCGCCCCAATCCGCTTCTCATTCGCTGGATCACACGCCAGGTACAGCCACTTTGTATCCTACTGCATTCTACTAGTACCGCTTGGTACCGTTCTCTACCTGCTGTGACCCAACCCACTCCTCATTCGCTGGATCACACGCCAGGTACAGCGACTAAGTATCTTACTGCATTCTACTAGTACCGTTTGGTCCCGTTCTCTACCTGCTGTGACCCAATCCACTCCTCATTCGCTGGATCACACGCCAGGTACGAGGTACTTCCAGCTACCGCATTTTATTGGTACCTGCTCAGACCACACTCTACCTCTGCAGTCTACCCCCGCCCCTTCCATTTTTGCGCTCTTGTTTGCAGTCTTGTCTTCTCCCCACATGCCACGCTCCACCAGGTGCCTACACAAGCACAGTGCTCACTAACGCGTGCAGACTAGGTCCTGCTCTCTGCGCTTGTGTAGGCCCTTCATTCAACCTTCTTCCCCTTTCGTTTTTACATCCCTTCTACACCTTCCCCCCTTCGGAATGCCGTCAATCCCACCAGGTGCGAGCAGACGAGGACGAGGGCGTCACTCGCAGCTACTCACTCCACTTCATTCCCAGATGTGATGCGATCTGTAACAGGGTACGTATGAAAACATTGTCTGTGTGTTGGGCTTGGGGGTAGGGAAGGTGGAGGGTTAGGGTTTGTGCATGCAAGGTGCCTCAAAAGTGTGCCTGTTGTCTGTGCATCCAAGGGTACGTCTACTGTTGCACCCCACGCACCATACATCCGCAGATTCTGGAACAGAAGGGCTCGTGGACAACCTTTGATTGAGTCGCCTCAAAAGGAACACTGTTGTGACCTGTGTCTATTTCTTTTCGCCCCACACCACACACCACACACCACACATCACAAACCACAAACCACACACCACACACCACACATCACAAACCACAAACCACACACCACACACCACACATCACAAACCACAAACCACACACCACACACCACACATCACAAACCACAAACCACACACCACACACCACACATCACAAACCACAAACCACACACCACACACCACACATCACAAACCACAAACCACACACCACACACCACACATCACAAACCACAAACCACACACCACACACCACACATCACAAACCACAAACCACACACCACACACCACACATCACAAACCACAAACCACACACCACACACCACACATCACAAACCACAAACCACACACCACACACCACACATCACAAACCACAAACCACACACCACACACCACACATCACAAACCACAAACCACAAACCACACACCACACACCACACACCACAAACCACACACCACACACCACACACCACACACCACACATCACAAACCACAAACCACACACCACACACCACACATCACAAACCACAAACCACACACCACACACCACACACCACACATCACAAACCACAAACCACACACCACACACCACACATCACAAACCACAAACCACACACCACACACCACACATCACAAACCACACACCACACACCACACACCACACACCACACACCACACATCACACACCACACATCACAAACCACAAACCACACACCACACACCACACATCACAAACCACAAACCACAAACCACACACCACAAACCACACACCACAAACCACACACCACACACCACACATCACAAACCACACACCACACACCACACACCACACACCACACATCACACACCACACATCACAAACCACAAACCACACACCACACACCACACATCACAAACCACAAACCACACACCACACACCACACATCACAAACCACAAACCACACACCACACACCACACACCACAAACCACACACCACAAACCACACACCACACACCACACATCACAAACCACACACCACACACCACACACCACACACCACACACCACACATCACAAACCACAAACCACACACCACACACCACACACCACAAACCACACACCACACATCACAAACCACAAACCACACACCACACACCACACACCACAAACCACACACCAAACCACACACCACACACCACACATCACAAACCACACACCACACACCACACACCACACACCACACACCACACACCACACATCACAAACCACAAACCACACACCACACACCACACATCACAAACCACAAACCACACACCACACACCACACACCACAAACCACACACCACAAACCACACACCACACACCACACATCACAAACCACACACCACACACCACACACCACACACCACACACCACACATCACACACCACACATCACAAACCACAAACCACACACCACACACCACACATCACAAACCACAAACCACACACCACACACCACACATCACAAACCACAAACCACACACCACACATCACACACCACACATCACAAACCACAAGCCACACACCACACACCACACATCACAAACCACAAACCACACACCACACACCACACATCACAAACCACAAACCACACACCACACACCACACATCACAAACCACAAACCACACACCACACACCACACATCACAAACCACAAACCACAAACCACACACCACACACCACACACCACAAACCACACACCACACACCACACACCACACACCACACACCACACATCACAAACCACAAACCACACACCACACACCACACATCACAAACCACAAACCACACACCACACACCACACACCACACATCACAAACCACAAACCACACACCACACACCACACATCACAAACCACAAACCACACACCACACACCACACACCACACATCACAAACCACAAACCACACACCACACACCACACACCACAAACCACACACCACAAACCACACACCACACACCACACATCACAAACCACACACCACACACCACACACCACACACCACACATCACACACCACACATCACAAACCACAAACCACACACCACACACCACACATCACAAACCACAAACCACACACCACACACCACACACCACAAACCACACACCACAAACCACACACCACACACCACACATCACAAACCACACACCACACACCACACACCACACACCACACACCACACATCACACATCACACACCACACATCACAAACCACAAACCACACACCACACACCACACATCACAAACCACAAACCACACACCACACACCACACACCACAAACCACACACCACAAACCACAGACCACACACCACAAACCACACACCACAAACCACACACCACACACCACACATCACAAACCACACACCACACACCACACACCACACACCACACATCACAAACCACAAACCACACACCACACACCACACATCACAAACCACAAACCACACACCACACACCACACATCACAAACCACAAACCACACACCACACACCACACACCACAAACCACACACCACAAACCACACACCACACACCACACATCACAAACCACACACCACACACCACACACCACACACCACACACCACACACCACACATCACACACCACACATCACAAACCACAAACCACACACCACACACCACACATCACAAACCACAAACCACACACCACACACCACACACCACAAACCACACACCACAAACCACACACCACACACCACACATCACAAACCACACACCACACACCACACACCACACACCACACACCACACACCACACACCACACATCACACACCACACATCACAAACCACAAACCACACACCACACACCACACATCACAAACCACAAACCACACACCACACACCACACATCACAAACCACAAACCACACACCACACACCACACATCACAAACCACAAACCACACACCACAAATCACACACCACACATCACAAACCACAAACCACACACCACACACCACACATCACAAACCACAAACCACACACCACACACCACACATCACAAACCACAAACCACACACCACACACCACACACCACAAACCACACACCACAAACCACACACCACACACCACACATCACAAACCACACACCACACACCACACACCACACACCACACATCACACACCACACATCACAAACCACAAACCACACACCACACACCACACATCACAAACCACAAACCACACACCACACACCACACATCACAAACCACAAACCACACACCACACACCACACACCACAAACCACACACCACAAACCACACACCACACACCACACATCACAAACCACACACCACACACCACACACCACACACCACACACCACACATCACAAACCACAAACCACACACCACACACCACACATCACAAACCACAAACCACACACCACACACCACACATCACAAACCACAAACCACAAACCACACACCACACACCACACACCACAAACCACACACCACACACCACACACCACACACCACACACCACACACCACACACCACACATCACAAACCACAAACCACACACCACACACCACACATCACAAACCACAAACCACACACCACACACCACACACCACACATCACAAACCACAAACCACACACCACACACCACACATCACTAACCACAAACCACACACCACACACCACACATCACAAACCACAAACCACACACCACACACCACACATCACAAACCACAAACCACACACCACACACCACACACCACACATCACAAACCACAAACCACACACCACACACCACACACCACAAACCACACACCACAAACCACACACCACACACCACACATCACAAACCACACACCACACACCACACACCACACACCACACATCACACACCACACATCACAAACCACAAACCACACACCACACACCACACATCACAAACCACAAACCACACACCACACACCACACACCACAAACCACACACCACAAACCACACACCACACACCACACATCACAAACCACACACCACACACCACACACCACACACCACACACCACACATCACACATCACAAACCACAAACCACACACCACACACCACACATCACAAACCACAAACCACACACCACACACCACACATCACAAACCACAAACCACACACCACACACCACACACCACAAACCACACACCACAAACCACACACCACGCACCACACATCACAAACCACACACCACACACCACACACCACACACCACACACCACACATCACAAACCACAAACCACACACCACACACCACACATCACAAACCACAAACCATACACCACACACCACACATCACAAACCACAAACCACACACCACACACCACACACCACAAACCACACACCACAAACCACACACCACACACCACACATCATAAACCACACACCACACACCACACACCACACACCACACATCACACACCACACATCACAAACCACAAACCACACACCACACACCACACATCACAAACCACAAACCACACACCACACACCACACACCACAAACCACACACCACAAACCAC